AACGCTTCTCAACTCTTCAATTACACCAGTCAGCGGACGATCACACAAGACGCTCTTTCCTTCATCTCTTGTAACGACGATTCTTATTTTATTCTCGTCTTTTTTTTTTTAATCCATTTCGTCTCTGGAGGAATGAATTTACTCTCTTTCGTCCACTCTGGCGAGCCGTTCTCCTGCACTGGCGTTAAGTTAGTGACACTCAAATACCGTGAGACTTTTTTCATTTCGTTTCCTCAATTTTCATTTCGATTATTTTTCCCATCACAAGTCTCATAAAATTTCCTTTCTTTACAAACAACAAAATATACTCCTAACCTAACCTAACCTAACCTAACCTAACCTAACCTATCCTAACCTACGCCCTAAATAAAAATACACAGAGAAAAAAATCCAATTACAAAAAGTTCAGTAATTAAAGTCAATATTCAATCACATTCAATCACGCCATTTAATTAATTCAGAATAAAAGATCATTGTTACAGTCACAGGAATTTCAAATTTTTTTTTTAACCTTTTTCTGTAATATTGCTGTAAGTCGAGGAGGAATCTGGCTCCTGCTTCTAAAATTATATATAATATGATTGGTAGTTTTAATTTGACGATTGATTAATTTTGAGGTGAACGTACTGCTGTAGTTACAAGTACGGGTACAGGTATAGTACAAGTATAAGTGTTGATACAGGTTTAGGCACAAGTACAGGTAAATTAATTAGTACAGATACAAGTATAAGTACAAATTTAAGTGCAGATATAATTACAAATACAAAACCTGGTACAGACACAAATACAGGTATATTAATAAGTACAGGTAAAAATACAGGTACAAAAAAATAATACCTTAAAATCCCATCTCTTCTAATATAATTAAACCTAACTTTTGTCTTGTCATAATCACAAAACTTTCACCCAATTCTCTTTCACACTCTCACAAAAATACAAAGACCCACTTACAAAACTTTCACGGTACCTTTCTTTTTCGCTCTAATTCTGTTAGATCTAATTAGAGACAACTTTAATTTTACAATGTCAAATTCCCCCCACCCCCATCCCCTTAAAAAAAATCGTTCGTATAGTTTCGTTCATTCCTGTAATTTCGTTCATTTCTGTAACTCCCTATAAGAAGATGACTACAAAAAATGCAATTAATAACATGTAATTTCCCCTCATTTACCCCCCAAAAAGAAAGTAATTACCAACAAAACTTCTTTACTTCATTCAAAAGCAAAAAACAAAACAATATATCAAATATTACATCATATTTATTTCCACTAAGAACTCATCAAATAACTTTTCTTCATCTGCCGCGTCAATTCCATTCTCAAATTCTTAAACAAATTATAACCGGGTCACATACACTGGAATCTTACGCCGAGAAACTTTATCCAAAAGAATTAAACTTAAAAGTAAAGACGCTAAACCGGAATTAAAGACGCTAAACCGAAATTAAAGACGATAAACCGGAATTAAAGACTATAAACCGGAATTAAAGATGCTAAACCGGAATTAAAGACGATAAACCGGAATTAAAGACGATAAACCGGAATTAAAGACGATAAACCGGAATTGAAGTAATTTAAGTGGGTTTATGAGAGAACTTTGCTAATAAGTGGAGACGAGGAGAAGAAATAAGATCTAATACGTTTCCCCTGGTGTCATTTCTTCCTTATAAGTGCTGAGGTTTATGTAGTGGCTCAAAGACAATCAGGAACGAGGGAAAGACAATCAGGAACGAGGGAAAGACACTCAGGAACGAGGGAAAGACAATCAGGAACGAGGGAAAGACAATCAGGAACGAGGGAAAGACGATCAGGAACGAGGGAAAGACAATCAGGAACGAGGGAAAGACAATCAGGAACAAGGGAAAGACAATCAGGAACGAGGGAAAGACAATCAGATATAATTATAACTGAAATAAACACAAGACAATCAATAAACACTCCAATTTGGGTTTCAAACACAGAGGTAACCAAACAAGATCTGATTGGCAAGGATGAGAGAAACTAGAACATTACATTAAGATAAACACGACACAGACACACACCACGACACAATCAGAAAATCCTAACACTCAAACAAGACTTCAGTCCCCCTAACACTCAGATTAAGAGACACATACCAATCAGAGCCCTAATCAGCCGTCAAACACTCAGAAAGTAAGTTCTCAGTCTCCCTAACACTCGGATTAAAAGACACGTACCAATCAGAACCCCAATCAGTATTTTAAACAATCAGAACAAGCATAAGCAACTAGCACCCCTAAGTAGCACAGTCTACCAATATTACCCACGAGAGAACCCACACGAACCCACACAAACCCACAGGAACCCACACACAAACCCACACAGGAACCACAGGAACCCACACAAACCCACACGAACCCACACGGAACCCACACAAACCCACACGAACCCACACAAACCCACACGAACCCACACACAAACCCATTAATGAACCCACACAAACCCACACGAACCCACACAAACCCACACGAACCCACACAAACCCACACGAATACTTGGGTTACATCGGTAGGACTCAAAGCCCCCCTCCTCACGCCCGCTATCGGTGATCGGGAAGCAGCGTAAAGGAAGCGATAGTTGGCTCCTCAAAAGATCCCGATAATGCAATTGGCCCAGAGACGAGGATAACGAAAGAGAAAGAGAGAGAGAGAGAGGAGAATGATGGTGGGGGAGATATAGAAGAAGGGGAGAATGATAATAGAGACGGTAATGGAGACGATAATGAAGGAGAAGAAGGTGATGTGAAGAAAATGAGAATGATAGTGAAGATGATAAAGGAAGAATGGTGATGACAGAAAAAACAGCAAAATTACGAATGACAAGAAGAAGAAGAAGAGGAATTAATAAGAATGAAGATAAAACCGAAAAAGAATGATGAAAAGGGGAAAAAGAAAAATGGTAATGAAAACAAAAAACGATAATAAATGGAGAGAAGAAAAACAAGGAATGATGATGGGAAAAGACAAAAACAAGACGAAGAAGGATAGTAGTGTGGGTGACAAGAAGGAAGAATAATGATGTAGATACGACAGTCGAAAAGAAAATGTGAAAATGGAAGAAAATACAAAAGGTGATAAAGAAAAGAAGTAGTGTCGAATATCATAACCTAACCTAACCAAACCTAACGTAACATCACCTAACCTAACCTAACCTAACCTAACCAAACCTAACGTAACATCACCTAACTTAACCATATATAAGAAGAGATGTCCAAGGTTCATTTTAAAGTCTTCTGTTTACATCTGCAGGTACGTGATCTAAACAAACAAACAAACACACACACACACACAAGTAAAACAAAAGAACCACGGTATAACTCTTTTTTTTCTCCCTTAGGTTTGTTGACATTGGATAAGACGCGGTGGGTCGTTTAGTCTCCGAGTCGGGTATTTCTCCAGACGTTTGTTGACATCCAAAGAGACGCGGTCGCTTAGTCACAGGAGCTGGAACCTTGACGTGACGACTGACTTGAGCAGCACGCACCATCCTTCCCCCCCTCCCCCTCCTCCCCCTCTCCCCCACGCTGGCTAATTCGCTTGAGTATTCGCACCACAATCTGGTTTCCGGCGTCGGATATGAGGATAAAGGATCTGGATATTGGGGGAGAAATGAAGACAGATATGGATTAAATGGATATTCTGTCAACAGCACTATTAAGGCATGGCTGTGGAGGATGGGAGGAGGATGAGGGAGAAAGGAAGAGGAGAGATACTGTTTGGAGGGAGAGGGAGAGGAGGAGAGGGAGGGGAGGAAGAGAAAAAAAAACACGAACTAAAACAACGATTCTCTCTCTCTCTCTCTCACACAATTTATCCCCTCACCGAAAAACTTAATTACTTCCACAACTAAAAAAACACAATCACCACCCCCCCCCCTCGTCCCCTCCATGAGTAACGAGGTGGGGTAAGGTGGGGGAGAATGAAGTCGAAAACACACAATACATTAGAGGCATAAACCACCTGTAATAATATATTGGTGTTTAGATGGTGCAGTTTGAGTCCATTAATCTCAAAGCATCATCAGAATTCCCCACCCCCCAACTACCTAACTAACCTAACTAACTAACAACCTAACTAACCTAACCTAACCTAACCAATGATGATGATGACGATGACAACAAGCTAGTAATAATAACCCTTCTATTCCATAACAAATAAATACCTGTATATATAATTATTTTCCAGGTTAATGATCTACACCATTATATCAATTATACCCATTACATAAAGAGTATATAATTATCATACTCTAATTATACTACCATTAATTATTCTCTCAGTGGGTCCAGGTTAATTAGCCTCCTTCAGACTCATACAGGTAAGTAAGTTTTATTTGAGGTTATTTATACCAGAAAAATTAACCCCTGCGATCCAGACAGACAGACAGACAGACAGACAGAACGAGACACACAGACAGACAGACATGTGAGGCAAGGAAATAACAGGTTCCATCACAATCCTCAATAGACACCAGAACGATCCATTGTTTTATACCACTTGTGTGTGTGTGTGTGTGTGTGTGTGTGTGTGTGTGTGTGTGTGTTGTGTGTGTGTGTGGACAAGAAATATAACTATAACAAACTATAATTATTGCTGTTGTATTTAATATTCACAACATCCAGCACTTATAACCTCACCCCCCCTCACTCCCCCAACCACACAACCACAGCTCTCCTGCCACCCAACTCTCCTGCCACACCCCACAACTCTCCATACCCACAACTCTCCGGCCACCCACAACTCTCTCCCCACCCCCACACGCTCTCCTACCCACAACTCTCCAGCCACCCCCAACTCTCGGCCACCCCCAACTCTCCGGCCACCCACAACTCTCCGGCCACCCACAACTCTCCTGCCCACACCCCAACTCTCCTACCACCCACAACTCTCCTGCCACACCCACAAGCTCTCCACCCACCCTCAACTCTCCTGCCACCCACAACTCTCCTGCCACCCACCCACAACTCTCCGCCACCCACAGCTCCTGCCACCCACAACTCTCCGGCCACCAGCTCTCCGCCACCCACAACTCTCTTGCCACCCACAACTCTCCTGCCACCCCAGCTCTCCGGCCACCCCACAACTCTCCTGCACCCCACACAACTCTCCGGCCACCTGCAACTCTCGGCCACCCACAACTCTCCTGCCACCCACAACTCTCCTGCCCCAACTCTCCGGCCACCCAGCTCTCAGCCACCCAGCTCTCCTGCTCCCCTGCTCCGCCACCCACAACTCTCCGGCCACCACACTCTCCAGCCACCCACAACTCTCCGGCCACCCACAGCTCTCCGGCCACCCCTGGCTCCTGCCACCCACAACTCTCCTGCCACCCCAGTCTCAACTCTCCTGCCACCCACAACTCTCCGGCCACCCACAACTCTCCTGCCACCCACAACTCTCCCGGCCACCCACAACTCTCGGCACCCTCTCTGCCCCCCACTCTCGCCCCCGCCACCACAACTCTCCAGCCACCCACAACTCTCCGACCACGCTCTCCAGCCACCGCTCTCCTGCCACATGGCACACTCTCCCCTGCCACAACTTCCACAACTCTCCTGCCACCCACAACTCTCCAGCCACCCACAACTCTCCGGCCACCACAACTCTCCGGCCACCCACAACTCTCCGCCCCACAACTCTCCGGCCACCCACAACTCTCCGGCCACCCCACAACTCTCTGCCACCCACAACTCTCCAGCCACCCACAACTCTCCGGCCACCCACAGCTCTCCTGCCACCCACAACTCTCCGTACCCCTCCTGCCACCCACACCTCTCCGGCCACCCCACAACTCTCCTGCCCACCCACAACTCCTGCCCCACCAGCTCTCCGGCCACCCACAACTCCGGCCACCCACAACTCTCCTGCACCCACAACTTTCGCCACCCACAACTCTCAGCCCCACAACTCTCCGGCCACCCCACAGCTCTCCTGCCCCACCAACTCTCCTGCCACCCACAACTCTCCTGCACCCCCCAACTCCTCCTGCCACCCACAGCTCTCCCTGCCACCCACAACTCTCCTGCCACCCACAACTCTCCGGCCACCCACAACTCTCCGTGCCCACACAACTCTCCATCCACGCTTCCCACAACTCTCCTGCCACCGCCCCCACAACTTTCCTGCCCACAGCTCTCCGCCACCCACAACTCCTCCGGCCACCCACAACTCTCCTGCCACCCACAACTCTCCGGCCACCCCCAACTCTCCACCCACAACTCTCCTGCCACCCCTAACTTTCCCACCACCCTCTCTCACGCCACCCACAACTTTCCTGCCACCACAACTCTCGGCCATCCACAACTCTCGGCCACCCACAACTCTCCTGCCCACAACTCCTCGCCACCCACAACTCTCCTGCCACCCACAGCTCTCCCGCCCCACTCCCCTTTCTCACACACCTCGGCCACCCACAACATCGGGGCCAAACATATAAAAAAATGGTTGTCTTTTTAGACTGAGACCGACAGAAATTAATATTACCATCACAAGCATTGGAAATCCATATGAAGAGAGAGACGGGATGAGTGGAGGACGCATCTTAACAAATCTCTCTCTCTCTCTCTCCTCTCTCGCTCAATGATAAAAACGACCTAAATACCACCTGATGTCCCCCTATAAAAACAAACGAATAACCCCCCACAAAAGACGTCTAAAATCACAAGCAAAACCGACTAAAACCTACAACACCCGACTGAAACCGACGAAGCAAAAAACCGACTAAAATCGAACCCAAGCAGGCCGTTTCACTATCTTGAATCCTGAAGGTGGGTGGCATGTCCAAATGTCCCCTTCAGTAGCAGTATCGTCAGGAGTGTCTTAAGGTCATCGTCAGGAACCAGCTACTATCCTCCATGTCCTTCACACACACACACACACACACACACACACACACACACACACACACACACAAGGATGGGGACGAGTGAGTTGCCAATGTGATGGTTGTCCTACTGCCTCTACCACTCACCACCACCACCTCACACCACCACCACACCACCACCACCACACCACCACACCACCACCACCACCACACCACCACCACCACCACCACATCACCACCACCACCACCACCACCACCACACCACTCACCACACCACCACCACCACCAGCGACGCTTTCTCGGATATTGCCTCCAATTTTTATAAAACAACATGAATATTTTTTGTGTGTGTCTCTTTCTTCAACTGAGTTTATTATACGTCTCGGTGGGGCATGTTAGCCTATAGTGTGTGTGTGTGTGTGTGTGTGTGTGTGTGTGTGTGTGTGTGTGTGTGTGTGTGTGTGTGTGTGTGTGTGTGTGTGTGTGTGTGTGTGTGTGTGTGTGTGTGTTGGGTGGATGGTGAGGAGAAATTTTGTTCTTATACAGGAAATAGTCATTCTGGTCCTTAGTGGTGGCTGTTATCTCGACTATTGTACAGCTGTAGACGAGTGAGTGAGTGTGTTACTTTATTGCACCCCACATCATCCTGTGAGCGGTAGCAAAAGGATTACAGAGTAGGTTTATGTATGTAATGTAAGAATGACCCTGCTACGATATGGCAAAATGTAAAGTTACAGCTAGCATTTCATTTCATATTTTCCATTTAGTTCTATACATAGAGGGTAAATTTATTCACAAATGCGTGAATAGGCGTGTGGGAGGGTATGTTCTCACTTCACTTTATTATTCACATTTACGTGTGGGAGGATCACACATTGCATATTTGGTTCTACATGTGAGAACTGATATAGTTATTGAGTGCAAAAAAAGTGGATGCTAATTCATATGTTTATTATTCACACAGAGATGAAGTACAGCTATTTCACACACAGTGTGCTTTCAATTGTCTCAAAAGTTGTTCTATTTCAAATGAGGATTTAGTCATGGTAAAATAGCCACATGTATGGCCACACACTTTACATTTAGTTTTGTTTTCATATCTGCTTGAGGAACATACTGTCTGGAGGTACTTATATCCTAACTTTAATCTAGCGGTTACAAATATCTTGTAATCTAGTGATTCTGCTACTTGCTCCATATACATGTTTCACTTGGATACATCTCTATCATGGTAAAACCAGGATCGACTAGTGCCTGGTTTGCACTTGGTTCATTTGCGTCAAACTCATCAATAAGTTCTTCCTAATTGCGCAGTTTTAAGGGTTCTTTTATACACCCAAATTGTATTCAACGGTGTTTTGTTAGATGCGAGTCTAAGGAGGGCATCAACCTGTCATGTTTTATGAGGCCTATAGAGAGGATCTATTAATGTTTGACTTGACTTGTCAACAAGGCACGCATATTTGTGTCTGGCTTCAGAGACAAGATCGTGACAACCTGAGCCGAGGGTACCAAGGCAAGTGAGGAGTAGATATAGAGAGTCAGATGATGAGATCAAGTCAGTACAGTGGTTTCAATGAATTTAATAGGGCTGTGAGTATGGGCAACTAATTCAGTTTGTAGAGGATGCCCAGTTGTTAATTCTAACCCTTTCAGTTATATTACCGTTGTGTTGAGTCACAAATAACAGTACTTCCAGCCCTCCCACAGGCGGTGTTTAGAGATCCATCAGTGTAGGCGGTCGTGATATTATCATCAGTCTGTAGAGTGTATGTTCAAGGCCTCAATTTGGCAGTGTGTTGAGATAAATGTTGGTATAATTAATTTTTAGGTGATACGTCGGTATTGTGACATTGAAGGAACCGTCCGTCAGGGTGGCAGGAAGTGCTGTTGTGTCTCAACTTTGTACAGGTGGTCTAGTCCAAATATCTTCATATGTAGCTGTAGTTTGACCATTTAGACCAGTAGTCTCATGGTCTATACATTCTAGCAATTTTAAGGAAACAATGTTATCAGGATCACCACGCAGAAGCCCCCAGGCCACTGCCAAGAGTTGACTTCAATTATTCTATCTTTAACATTGCATACCTAGTTCTTTCCTTCATATTAAGTAATTTTTTAGTGCTCATGGACATCCTAGGATAATTCTGAGGTTTACCGCATTTTCTCGAGCGCACCCCTTTCCTGTCATGAATGACCAGGGCTGGTGCGTGTAATCTAATGAGATCTTATATAGCCTAGGTACATTGTTTTTAATAATTTAATATTAGCACCATAGTGTGGGCTGCACTCGCCAAGACTTCTAAGAGGTCTCAGTCCGTCAGTACATTGGCGGGTTAGCTGTTGTAAGGGCAGAAAGTGCGATTTAAACACCAAGATATTTAAAAAGAAGAAATATAGTCAATAGTGTTGCTACTATCTTGAATTTGGCGGGGCTATGTTTGCGGTTCTAGCTTGTTTGTTGAACACCTTAGTTTTGTCAGTGGGAGATAATAAGACTGAGGTGTTCATAGTGGTCATATACATGGTTCAGGGTGGCTTGCATTTAACATTGAGTTTTAGTATGTATATATGAATATCACTGTAGCATAGGCTGATTGAGATATTGCTGTTGTCTGTATTAAATTTAATAATGCATTCATAAGAACATTGAACAAAGTGGGGCCAAGCATTCCACCTTGAGGGTACCAAGTTGCATATCTTTAACTCTACTTTGTAACTCCTGAAACAGTGCAGCAGCCTTCTGTTGGTTAGGGTAACTCACTTAGTCCAGTGTAACAGCCCACTCCTTATATCCATTTTAAGGTTCACACATCAGTTGCCCATTACACATCAAATGCAGCTTTAGGTCAAGAAATGTGTGTATTCTGTGCCTTTTACCACCATGCACAGTTAGGGAATGTGGTGATGCAATTATGCACACCTTTACCATGGTGAAGCTTATCTATGTTAGGAGACATGTAATTCTGGATTCTGATATAAGAGCCAAGAACCATCCTTCCTCAAAGGTTTATACAGGCAGTTGGTTAGTGATATGGGATTCAGGCATCAGGCTGTCCTGGGTTTCATGGGTATTGGCACAACAATACTGCTGGTCCACATGGGTAGCTATCTCGGCATGACTCATATTGTACAATACCAACAATGGATTGCCCAAGTACGCGCCTTTAGTAGTCTAATGATGTTGTAGGTGACCTGTCCCTCCAGGAAGGGACCCACCCTGGCGAGGCGGCGTCAAGCCCCCACCAGTATATGATCACACCATCGTGCCGTTTGCCCAGCATAAAGCCAATAAGATTACTTTCTCAGACTTCGCATCAAGGAGTCCTGAGTCCTAGCTGGTAACATGTCATAGCCTCGACACATGAGCCCACTTTGTTATTAGCCTTGGCCCGATCTTTTGCAGAGTGGCTTGGATGGGGAGACGTGTCTTCTGTTTTTTACTCTCTGATTATAAGCTTATGTCTTTCCAGGCTTTGCTGAGGGATGCTGTTCAGGTTGTTGGACATATGTCTCTCAAGCATTTTGGTCTGAGTTCGCTTACACGTTCCCTGATATATAAGGAAGCTTGATACAATTGTAACATTTGAGGTGTCTCACATTGTCTGTAACCCTTTACCCACCCCTCCTGACCCTAGTCTCTGAGTTTTTTCAGCTCAGGGTCATTATAGCACTGGTTGCTGCCTGTTCCATTATGCTGACCACGCTTTCTCCTTTTTTGGTGGAGGCATTGTTGGTGAAGTATACATAAGTCCCATCTATCAGATCGTCATGGGAAATTGGTAATTGTCAGGCTTGTGTCCTTGTACTGAAGTCATGGATGAAGTCTATGAACTGGCCATGTTCTAGCTTTTTGACTGTGATTCTACGTCTGTTGAGTTTACTACCATAAAATATTGGCTACATGTATACTAGCTTGGATTGGCTGTGGTCAGACATAAGATCAGGACAACACTCAGAGCTGTGGGAGTTGTGTAGAGTAGATTAAAGCCAATAGCATTTGTCTAGACCCTCGCCAGATGCCAAAAAGGTCTATTATTACCTAATTTGGAACATCTCACATGCGCTGAGGCGAGATAAGTCTCACTATTGGTGTTAGTGGGTGGAGTCACCAATCTCTTGTGTCTAGTATCCAGGTCACCCACTTCAGGACAGAAAAAATGTTTGTGTAAAAGCCTGGGGAGATCTGTGTATTGAAGCCGATCTGAGGGACATAGCGTTTAGCACGTTGAGGTGGAGTTCAAGTGGATAGTGATCCTACGGTACTGAAGGTTGGTAGTCTTTTTGATACAAGAGGTACATGCGGGAGTGACTTTCTAACATACATCAAAATTATGTGTGAGTAGAACTAGGATCATAATACACACACTGGGCACTGGGTGGGGGCTACCTAATAGGGTGTGAGACACTCCCTGCAGACACAATAATATCGATGTCCCCAGTCACAACTTTGTGGTGTAGGTCAGGTATTTGTTTTCTGGCGATGAGATGTTCCAACTCATCACCTTCACCGCTCTGTATCTTTGCCTGGTATTAACACTGGCCATTGCCAGGAAATGTATTTGGAATTTTGTCTGGTATTAACACTGGCCACAGGAAATGTAGTATTTGGAAAGAAGCAAAAGGCATTGTA